GTTGACCACACATGACTTTAGAACACTTGAAATGTGGCTAGTGTGACTTGGTTGCTGACTTTTTCTTAATTTGTATGAATTTACATTTGTATTTAAATAGGCATGTGTGGCTATTAGCTACTGAACCATACAGTTCTGAACAGATAACACACAGCACTGTATCATGTACACCGGTCTACGTCTTACCTTCTTCACCTAGCCCCACCTATATGTCTTGGAGATAGATTGCTCCAATCTGCCTTATTTTTTAAAACCGCTGCATAAAAATCTCTTATAATCCACAAAGATAATCCTTTACCTCCCTGGAGAGTTCTGGGTGATCTTTTCTCTTAACAAACTCTAAGATCTTCCATATATGTCATCACCAAGACAACAATCCTGGGTTGCCCGCCCCTCTACTTTGATCACCCTGGACTTGGATAGTTTGAACAGTCCCTTTTGGGGAGTGGAGGAAATAATTTACCACAAGTCACTGCCCTGACATTCACTCACTCTCTACCCTCATGGCCCATGCCTGAAACTCAGTGGTGATAGTGGCCTTCTTTGAGGTTAATCACAGCTTTCTTTAAGTAGTTCTCCTTTAAAGAGCAAAGTCTCCTGGGAAAGGCAGCAATTAAGTTAAAACACCTGGAGGTGATGTTGTTTTTTTCCCTGAAGAGACGGGCCAAGGAGCTTTTTGAAGCAATGGGGGTGAATTTGATGGTGAATTTCACTGTCAAAATTGTCCTTACATGCCTGTGGATCCCTGTCTAAGTTTGTGCCTTTAGACAATCTTCCTATTAGGATAGTTCAGATGCTGAGAATCTTTCCAATTTCTAAAGGCTTCTAAGAGGACAAAATTCCACTAACCTGTTTTAGCGATTAGCCCTGTATAAGCCCTTTATTCTAGAGATCCCTGTGGGAGGCAGTGGATACAAGATTGGTGTTAGATCTGGGTACAGGTCTCATCTCTAAATGACACAATCTTTTTATACCACATGAGGTGAACACTCAGGATTACATATGTGCTGACCTTTAGGAAGTCAGTCTATATTTCATGAGGAATTACATGGAGAAAATGAAGGAATGGTCTAAAATGCATCTGGTAATATTCCTGAGTCATTCATTCCTAAGGGCAGGGCTTAGTGCTAGGCATTGGGGGAAAGGGAGTAGCGGCAGTAAGAGGAAAGAGATGTGAGTCTTGTTTTTTCTGGATTCCTGACCTTATAGAGAACTGTGGTTGAGTCTTCCCAGTGGTAGACACTACCTTTCTTCTAGTGGCCTTCCCACTAAAAGAGTGGGCTCAGGCTGTGTGAACCTCCAGAGCAGGGCTCATCACACACACAGGGTAAATGGAAGTATTGGTCCTAATTCCCCACTCCTCCCTGCGTACATACACTAGCCATAGTTTTATTGTGGTTAATGTGCACTTTCCTATTCCCTGGATTTGGTCTTGCCCATGTGGCCTGCTGTGGCCCATGGAATGAAGTAAACATTAAAGCTCACCAGTTTCAAGCTTCGGCTGAAAGAGGTTTTGTGAGCTCCTACTGATGAGCTTCCTGTGTTCTCACCTTCACCACAGAACAGCCTCTCCTGCCTCTCCAACTGAATGAACACATGAGAAAGAGAGCTGCCTGGTTGTCTGCAGACCTACATACAGAAGTAGAGCCAACCCAGCCAGCACAGCATTAAAGCACAACTGTAGCAGTCAGCCAGCAGGTCTGCAAAGATTGTTACTCCAGCTCTAGAAGCTTGGGGATGGTTTACTACATGGCATTATCATGACAATAGCTAACCAATATGAAGAGTCATTTTTTCATTAGATTATAGGTTCAGCTGCCACAACAGAAGTCCAACACAACAGTAGGTTAAATAAGAAAGAAGATTATATGTAATAATATAGTTAAGTCCAAGGCTGGGAGCGGCCAGCAAGAGGCACGATGATTAAGGTACTGGACTCCTACATAGCCAATCATGGTTTGAGTCCTGGACACGGTGGTATGCTTTCTCATTCTCTCTCTCTCTCTCTCTCTCTGTCTGTCACACACACACACACACACACACACACACACACACATACCCTACAGCAAAGTTTAAAAAATAATAATAAAATTAAATAAATAATTCTTATTTACAAAAAAAAAAAAAAAAAAAAGTCCACTAGAGCCAGCAGGTGCTGTGGTAGTTAAGGTGCTGGATCCCACATGACCTCCTCTATGGCTGGAGTCTGGACCCGGCAACCTAAAAAAAAAGCTGGGTGCATGTGTTTGCATGCCCAAAATCCCTAGAGGGGAATGGGAGAAAAGAGATCGCAGCATGGTCATCCTCCCTAGAGGGGAGGTAATTTCTCACTTTCCCTCTCTCTGTTTCTATATCTCTCCAGTGAGTAAGCATGCCCTATAAACAAAAATACTAAACAAAAAGTAATCCAAGACTAATTTGTGGCTCATGTGTAGAGACCCTGCCTCCATTTATTTATTTATTTCTTTGTTTCTTTGTTTTAGTTTTGCTAGTAGGCAATATGCACTCACCAGAGAGAGACAGAGAGAGAGAAAGTGAGAAATCACTTCCAACCCCATGGAGAATAGTTCACACTGCAATCCCTTCTCTTCCATTTCTCCCTTCTCTCGGCATTTTGGGTATGCAAGCACTAGTGCCCAGCGTGTTTCTCAAGCTGCAGGGTTCACTACTCAAACTGCAGGGTCAATCATGTGGGATCCAGCCACTTTAACCCCTATGCTACAGGCTAGCCCAAGAACTCCTTCAAATTGTTCCAACTTCCTTGGAGTCTGACTCTCATCCACATGAAGCCTTTAGATTGTTCACAGATTTCACTTTTAATTTCCTGCAGCCTTGAAGGCCAATATACTCCACAGTGTAGCACCAAACTATTTCAACATTACCCTCTAACACATAAAGTTTAAATTCCAATTCCTGTTTCCTCCTCCAGACCTGGAAGCCTGAAAAACATGCTGGATGCATATGCATGCATGCCCCAAATCTGCTTTTGGCCTCTTCTTTGGCTTTTTCTTCTTCTTAATGGATTAGGACACACATTCAGGCATGAGTTTTGAGGGCTTAGGGGAAATAATAGGACTGGCCCCACAGTACAAGTAGGTTCAGTTGTCCAAATAGTCTGCCAACCTCAAAGACCCTGTGAGAGTGGACAGATGGTGTATAATCCCCTGAAGTCAAGGGTATCATAAATGACTGGTCCTTCAAGAACTGGGGGGGACAGTTCCAGTACAACTGGTTTTTGATCAAAAAATCCACCCATCCCCTTGAAGATGACACCTTTCAGGTTGGTGGAGACAAGTTATATAGGGAATCAGTGAGAGAAGTCCTTCTTGCCCTTTGCCCACATTGCCTCAATGGAAGCCCTGACTACTATGAGGAGTTCTAGCATCAGTCCCACTTTTCTTGCAATATGGCCCTGGTTACTTGCATATCAATATGTAACTGGTTATATTTTAATTCATTACCATGTAGCTAGAATTGGTTATAAATTCTATACATTTTAATATAAAAAAATAAGGATATCATCTAGAGGGGTCAGCCCCCCTAGCCTCATGGTTAAGGGCACTGGATACCACATGACCAACTGTGGTTCAAATCTCAGCTGGGATGATTTGAAAACCACACCTAGAGCCAGCAGGTGCTGTGGTAGTTAAGGTGCTGGATCCCACATGACCTCCTCTATGGCTGGAGTCTGGACCCGGCAACCAAAAGAAAAAGCTGGGTGCATGTGTTTGCATGCCCAAAATCCCTAGAGGGGAATGGGAGAAAAGAGATCGCAGCATGGTCATCCTCCCTAGAGGGGAGGTAATTTCTCACTTTCCCTCTCTCTGTTTCTATATCTCTCCAGTGAGTAAGCATGCCCTATAAACAAAAATACTAAACAAAAAGTAATCCAAGACTAATTTGTGGCTCATGTGTAGAGACCCTGCCTCCATTTATTTATTTATTTCTTTGTTTCTTTGTTTTAGTTTTGCTAGTAGGCAATATGCACTCACCAGAGAGAGACAGAGAGAGAGAAAGTGAGAAATCACTTCCAACCCCATGGAGAATAGTTCACACTGCAATCCCTTCTCTTCCATTTCTCCCTTCTCTCGGCATTTTGGGTATGCAAGCACTAGTGCCCAGCGTGTTTCTCAAGCTGCAGGGTTCACTACTCAAACTGCAGGGTCAATCATGTGGGATCCAGCCACTTTAACCCCTATGCTACAGGCTAGCCCAAGAACTCCTTCAAATTGTTCCAACTTCCTTGGAGTCTGACTCTCATCCACATGAAGCCTTTAGATTGTTCACAGATTTCACTTTTAATTTCCTGCAGCCTTGAAGGCCAATATACTCCACAGTGTAGCACCAAACTATTTCAACATTACCCTCTAACACATAAAGTTTAAATTCCAATTCCTGTTTCCTCCTCCAGACCTGGAAGCCTGAAAAACATGCTGGATGCATATGCATGCATGCCCCAAATCTGCTTTTGGCCTCTTCTTTGGCTTTTTCTTCTTCTTAATGGATTAGGACACACATTCAGGCATGAGTTTTGAGGGCTTAGGGGAAATAATAGGACTGGCCCCACAGTACAAGTAGGTTCAGTTGTCCAAATAGTCTGCCAACCTCAAAGACCCTGTGAGAGTGGACAGATGGTGTATAATCCCCTGAAGTCAAGGGTATCATAAATGACTGGTCCTTCAAGAACTGGGGGGGACAGTTCCAGTACAACTGGTTTTTGATCAAAAAATCCACCCATCCCCTTGAAGATGACACCTTTCAGGTTGGTGGAGACAAGTTATATAGGGAATCAGTGAGAGAAGTCCTTCTTGCCCTTTGCCCACATTGCCTCAATGGAAGCCCTGACTACTATGAGGAGTTCTAGCATCAGTCCCACTTTTCTTGCAATATGGCCCTGGTTACTTGCATATCAATATGTAACTGGTTATATTTTAATTCATTACCATGTAGCTAGAATTGGTTATAAATTCTATACATTTTAATATAAAAAAATAAGGATTTTATAAGCAATGCTTGAGAAGCCAATATTAGGGGGGGAAAAATGGTAGGTAGCCTGAGGCAGGATAGGGTCACTATACGTTCTCCTTCTCAGCAACTGCCTCACTTTCTTCACTCTCAGTAGTCAACTCCCCAGGTGACATCTTGTCTACCACAACTTCGGTGAGCTCCCTGAGATAAGAAAAACAATGTCAAGGTTTTACTTTTGACAGGAGCAATTAAATTTCATATGCAGACTTTGGGTGACAATCTTAAATTGCCTACAATTATTTACCCTGTATCCCTGTTGGAAATCTCATCCTCATCGTGTAGCTTCTGTGCCATGTTTTTCTGGCGTGTGGCATTGAGAGGTTTATACATATCTCTAAGCCAGAGTGGCCGCCTTAACCAGAAGGAGCCACCCTCCTAAAAAATAGAAAAGGAAACATTAATTTGGCATTCCCCCTGCTTTCTCCAGCCACAGCCACTGAATCCTCTTCATATTTACCTGAGTATCAGTTTCTGATGTGCATCTCCCACCCAGGAATGGGAAATTGCTCCTTGGGAGAAAACACATGCACAAGGTAATTAGTGACTCATGCCATTTCCCATGGCTCTCACAATGTATATCTCTGGTCAGACCATAATCACAATGAGCAGAACCACCACTGAGCTGGGATCTTAGAAACCATTTCAGGCATACCAGGCTTTTGCATCCTCATTCAGGGCACAAGTATTTCACACTCTCCAGAAGTATTTCACATCAGTCCCCTCTAGACTTAGTCTCCCATGCATCATTTGCTGGGTGGTGGGGGAGAAGGTGCATCTATTTCCCTAGCTGCTTTGTCCTCTGAGTTGAATCACATCAACAAAACACCTGAGTCCAACTACCAAAGTTATCTAGCTCACAGATTCTCATACTACGGCCTGTCACTAAAGATGAGGAAGTTGTATAGGCAGTTTAAAGGACATGACTACCACTAAAACACAAGTTATTCTTCTTAAATATGAACAGAATAGAAGAAAAATCAGATTGCCTTGTTCCAAAAACTATTTCTGTCAATAGAGTGTACGTTTACTGACGTGTGGTATAAAATGTAGCTCAGAAACCTGGCACAGTATAATCAGTGAAAGGGTCCCCAGATGGACAGGAACCATCCTCTTTCTGATGCTTATTAGTAGAGTGACTGTTGGGCAAGATATTTCCTCCTTCTCCTTCTCTGTTTCTTTATTATAATTGGAAGAACCAAACTACTATCTTAAATCTCTCACAGTTAAATTTCTATGAGGTTTGGATAAAGGAATGGAGCATGGGGTCCAAAATCCAGTAGGATGAGAAGATTGGCTTTTCTATCACTTTAAAGAAAGGACGCATACATTCTGCCTTCCCACAGCTCGAAGGAGACTAGCCTCTTCGCTCCAATGCCATGTCACCTTCTCTAACCCTTGTCCAGAACCAGAACCTCTGGGAAGCTTTCTGTTCTGGCCTCATGCCCACTGCCAGCAGGAACAGGCACAACCAAAACCTCTCCCCCTCCACTTTCTTTCAAGGGCTGATGATAGCAGATGTATCCATGCTACTCCCATCTAATTTAGTTTTTGTCAGGAACTCATTTTGTTGGATCCAGGCAAAGCATTAGGGTAAGTAAGTATTCTTCCCACCTCTGGCAATTTTCATACTATAAGTGAGTGTCTTGAAGTCAGTAAGTTCTAAGTTTCCTTCTAGTTCTAAAATTGCAGGACTAAGGGCCAACAGGTGATGTAGCATTTAAGGCACTGGACTCCCACATAGTCAATCACAGTTCAAGTCTCAGCTCTGGTGGCTTGAAATTCATGCTGGGCATGTGCATGTGCTTGCCCAAGATCCCAAGAGGAGAATGGAGAAGAAGGGATTGTGGTGTGGTCATCCCACTTGAGGGAGGAGGTGATTTCTCACTTTCTCTGTGTTTCTCTGTGTCTCTATAGGAATCACAGATGCCCTGTAGCAAAAATCTCTTGGAAATAAAAACAAATCAAATTCCAGACTATTACTTACCTTGAGCGTCCTCCTTCTTCATCTGCCTGTGATGATTTTCTATGAGAATAAATCTGTTTAGGAAGAAAACATAACCATGGATATCCAGTACAATGACTACTATCTTCAAATCTTTTATTTATTTTAAGTCCTAGCTCTTCAATAAGATGAAAACTTTTTGAGGACAGGAAGTCTAGCCCATTAAATAATTCTTTGGTTTTTCCACAGCACCTAACTTGGGGTGTTGCATGCAGCTGGCACTTAATACATTCTATGGACTCTTTTAGGTAACATTCAATAGACCATTTCTAATAGAAATTCTCAGAAGCAGGGGGAAAAATCCTTAACTTGATAACAGTATCTCCCTGAAACCTAAACAGCAGTGTTGTTTCAAAGTCAAGAACAGGCGGCG